ATAGGACTTCAGAAACAGGAAACCAGGGAGATGGGGATCAGGCCAGACAGAAACTCAGAGGGAGGGCACCCACCGAGAGGGAAGGACAAAGAGACAGAAATATGACAGTATCCAGAGAGGGACGACAGGGAGAGACAGAGGCCAAAATGACAAGACTGTATCAATGCCCCAAAGTCAAAATCGGAGGGAGTTGGAGGCAGATGCAGTCAGCTCCCCTTAGCCTCTTCCCGTCCTGGGGGTTGCCGGTATCCATAGCGACCGACCCAGATCCCCAATGCAAATATTGTCCAGGCCAGAAGCAGCCGCAGGGCTGTGTTGACATAATGTCGCACTGGGTTGGGTGTTGGCCCTAGAGGCCAGAATGGCGGGCAGACAAGAGCGGCTCTCGACTGGGGCTTTGTAGATAGATAGAGCCAACCTCCCTTCACTTCCAAATCCCCCAGTAAACTTCCCTTCACCCCACCCCAGTGGCTGAGTCCAACTATCCCGTACTGCCCCCTGGTGGCGGTGGTCGAGGCTGGGCGGTCCCTACAACCATGGACGTGGAAACTTGGGCTGAGAGTGTAGTCCAGACCAAATTTCCCAGAAGAGGCAGGAGGATTTGTAGATTCTATATTCCGTATTCTAGATGAAGACGCCTAGAGAGGGGAAGCAATTTGCCTCAGGAAAAGAGCTCGTGTACATTGCCAGAGAGCGCCCCTGACAGCCAGTTTCAAAATGTAATTTCCAGACTGTGAGAAAGCACATGCTCACCTGGAGAAGAAATTAAAAAAATAAAAATAAATATTCTATCTACCCCACCCGCCTCCTCCAGCGCAGCGACCCCCTCCCAAGCCTGGCAAGGTCCTTGACATCTCCCTGTGAAAGTACTTAGGAGAGAACAAACTCCATTAGCTGTACCCAGACGCCCCCCCCCAAAAAAAAGTGCACACAGAACACTTCACACCCAAATGCCCATCCAAACTGCTCTTCTCTTCTGGGAAATGGATCTCCCTCCCTCTGCCATAACCTACCAACCTCAGTTCCAGGCCTTACTCCATCCTCTATGCCCAGGATTTGCTCCCCTCCCCCACAACATGGAGCCCAAAATTCCAACTCTCCTAGGCCCCCAAAGTGCCCTTTCAAGAGGGCCCTACCCATTAACACAGTACGGTCAGTCTTATTCCATTGTATTTTGTTGTTTTTAAAGTTTCTATTGTGTTTATTTATTTATTTAGGTTGTTTTTCAAGAAAGGGTTTCAAGAAGTCTTGGCTGTCCTGGAACTCACTCTGTAGACTAGGCCGGCCTCAAACTCAGAGATCTGCCTGCCTCTGCCTCCCGAGTGCTGGGATTAAAGGTGTGCACCTCCACCATCCAACTTATTTATTATTCTTAATTATGTGTGTATATGTTTAAGCATGTGCTCCAAAAGTCCAAAGGTGTCAGACTCTTATAGACCTGGGGTTACCAGGGGCTTCTGAGGCAGCTGTTATGGATGCTGAGAGTCACACTCAGGTCCTCTAGGAGAGCAACAATTGCTCTTAACCTCTGAGCCATTTCTGTAGCCCCTCGTTATATTTGGCTTTCTCCTAAGACTAAGTCAAAGGTAAAATCTTCCTTAACAGATTTTTTTTTCTGCCCAGAAATCATTCAATTATGGGCACAAAAACTTCCTTTTTGTCACCTGTGTCTCTTATCACTCTCATAGAGAAGGTCCTTGGTGCACAGACTCTAAGCCAGGCTGGCCCTCCCTTCCTAGGTACCTCCCTAGCACTTACCAGCACGGGAAATTGTCTTGCCAGCTCTGAGCCTGCTTCTTCAAGGTGTAAAATGGCGATGATCGTGACCAATGAGTGAGAGCCTGACAGGTGACTGCATGGCACCTGCTGGCCGTTATATACTGTGTGTGTGGTGTATAGTTAGTACTAAGGATGTGTGCGTGCGTGTGTGTGTGCATGTGTGGTGTTGGGAATCAAACCCAGGGCATCAAACTTGCTAGGCAAGGCAGGGGCTCTACCACTGAGCCATCTCTCCAGCCCCCCTCCCCGTCTTAAAACAAAACAAAACCAGAAGTGAAGGGGCAGCCCAGGCCTGTAACCCCCAGAATTTGGGAAGTGGAGACAGGAGAATAAAGATAAAGAGTTCAAAACTGGCCTACATGAGGCTACACAAGACCCTGACTCAAAAAAGCCACAAAAGCCGGGCATGGTGGGGAGGGTTTTGCCAGTAAACACTTGAGAAGCTGGAGTGGAGGCAAGCCTGGGCTACCTACATAAGGGGGCAGCCTGTCCTCGCTCATATATACAAAACAACAAAACAATGCAAATTGAACCCCGTGGTCTGGGTCATGACTTGGAAAAGGCGATCCCATCTTGTTTAAATCTATTGTAAGGTTTTGTACCCCCCCCCCCCTCCTTTCTCTCCTAGCTCCGCAGTTTCCGAGACTGCTCTGACTGACACCGCCAGCTGGTCCCGGGCTTTACAATTAGGTCTCTGTCAAAATGCGGACTGGATGAATCCTTGGTGGGAGACTAGGACTGTAGGGGCGGAGCTAAGGGCCTCGGTGGCTGAAGTGGAAAGGAAAGTTCGGGAGGGGCTAATCGACTTGAGGGGAGGGAATCTAAATTCTGGGGGCGGAGCTAACCCTACCAGAGAGTCTGGTCCAAGTTTCTGGTCCTTGGATGTTCAGGGGGTGTGGCTAATTGTTCTAGGGGCGGGAATAGAACTTCAGCTGCTTCTTGATTTGGGGGTGGAGCTAATAGCCCTTGGGGGCGGGTCTAGATCTAATAAACAAGGAATGAGGACCTGGCTAGGGTACAAGCTCAGGTTATAGGATAACCTGTCATATTTGAGATTTCAATGTCAGGCTCTGGTCGTGCGAGGGGACTTATGGGAAATCGGATAAAAGATTTCAGGGAGGCTTTCGGGAATAGAGGAGTGTCTTCTTTTACCCCATCCTCCTTCCAGAACTGGGGGCGACACTTCGGGATGAAAAGCAGGAAAGACCCTGCCCCGTCAAGCCCACCCGCATCCCTATTGGCGGAGGAGCCTGCGCGACAGACTCTTATTGGCTCCTAACGGGAGAGGAGGGGGAGTGTAGAGAGAATACACTCTGGTTGTGGGAGGGGCCAGGCAGTACCTAGGGGGACCCGGACGCAGCCAATCCTGACCTGAAGACTGTTGGGGGGCGGCTGACAGAGCAGTCTCTCGACCCCCTTTCTGGGCATCCTAGGGGATGACCCCAGTGCCAGGCTCAGAGCCGGCCGCCTGATGCTGGGTGGGCCGAGCTGGGGATGCTGGAACGAAGGGCGTTGCTATGGCAACGGGAGGCAGGGCCTGGGGGGGGGACCGGGCCCGAGCTGGGGCTGCGGGGGCCGGCGGTGGCTGTGGCGGGGCAATGGCGGAGCGCGGCCCGGCCTTCTGCGGCCTCTACGACACGTCCTCGCTGCTGCAATACTGCAACGGTGAGAGCCCCCTTCTCAGTTCAGATCTTGGCCCCACCCAGGGTTGGACCTAAGGCTTCCGTCCCCAACCCTTTTTTCCCCCAAGTCCTTATCTCCTCCCTCGTGGGAGATTCCTCCTTTCTCCCCGTCAACAGACTCCTGACCCCAGAACAAGGTCCTCCATCTCCAAAGCCAGGATCCTGCTCCTCCCACCCCCACCCCAACATACACCTGCTCCGAAGGTAGCTAGACAGAGAGAAGGGGAAGATCCTGGAGGTGCCTATGTCGGGAAGGAGAGTAGGCCTGCGGTGGGGAATCAACTGAACCTGGAACTCTTTCTGCTCCTCAACCTTCTGGGACCCTCTGTGTTCCGGCATAGCAGTGGGAAACGCTGACTTGAGGGCTGGCCATGGGACCAGTAAAGCGCCAGAGGACTCTCTGTCCACTATTTCCCCCATCGTCAGTGCCGCCCCTCCCACCCGTGAAGAGTCCTTTTTCCCTAGACAAATGTGTATGCCACCTGAAGGGCCGTTTTGGGTTAGGGGAGCTGGGCTGCAGGAGCGGGGAAATGAGAGAAGTGAAAAGTGGGTGCTGGTCTCTGGGCCAGGGCAACAACCAAGAGCTTGAGTCATGGGGTGGGACCGTCAGACCAAGAAAGGCCTCAGATCCAAGCTGGCCACTCAGGGTCACTGTGCCCCCATGTCAATCATCTCGGAGTTTGGAGGTCACCCCTCCCCCCAGGAACACACCCTTGGCTAGAGACCCCTAGAGTTGGCAGAGGACCTAGAATGTTCATTTCACACACACACACACACACACACACACACACACACACACACACACCGCCGTCTAAAGGTTAAGGATGACAGGGTCTCTGAGGCGGGATCAAGTTTGGGTTCTGTCCCTGATAGAAAAAGAAAAACTGTGTCCTGAACAAGTGACTGGGACCTTCAGGGCTTTAGTTCCATTGCAGAAGCAGAGACCACTAAAGTCTCAGAGTGGAGGGTGGGGGTGGGAACAGTAGCTACCACGTTTAATGGTTCATCTTATCTGGGATTTCTGTGGGAAACACGGTAAGTGCAGAGCCCAGCTCTCCTGTATTTTCAATTGTAATACTATTTATGGTAGGTAGAAAATGGGCTCAACATAAGGTTGTTCGATGGCTCCCACCCCTTACTGACTGTGTGTATGGCCCTTAGCTTATCTCTTATTCCACCTTTTTCAGTTTCTTTCTTTGCAAGGATCGCCATGGGACCCTAGAACTTCCTGATAGGGGTCTCAAGTCTCTGCAGGCCCTTTCACTCTGACCTGGAGAGCCCCCTCTCCCATATTCCCTCCAAAGGTCCAGACACAGGACCTACGAAGCATTGGATGGGTGGGGGTAGGGGACAGAGTGGCAAGGCCGGGCAGGCGATTGGACCACGGAAGGAGTAGGAGGGGAGGGTCAGGAGTCTGCAGTGCGGGAGTCCAACGGACAGGCGGGGCTGGCCTAAGGGACACAGGACTCGGGATGGCAAGTGCGACCTCCGAGCCGGGTTACTGTTCCTGCTACCACCTTTACTTGGAAGGGGCTGGAAGCCAGGATATCCTAGATTCTCTCAGTAATGAGTCTGGGTAGGAGTGGTCCAGGAGGGAGGCAGAGGAGGAATCCCCCTCCCTGGTGGGAGGAAGGACGGGAGGGGTAAATGATGAGGTAGTCATTTAAACTGCAGCAATGGCTTGAAAAGGAGAAGGAGAACTAAATCTGGGTAGGGGTACAGAGGTAACATAAAGTGGGGGAGGGGCTGGAGGACAGAAACTCTGGGCTGGGGAAAGAGCGTGTGTCATCTCTGCCCTGCAATACCCATGTCGGCCGCCAGGGGTCACAGAAGGTCTGTCTTTATGGCTTTTTGGAGGGTCGAACTCCTTGGAGAGGGGAGAAAAGGGAAGAGAACACCACAGGACCTTTTGGCTTGAAAGTCTTGGATACAGCGAGAGAATGTTGGTACCCGTGACAGAATATTGATATTCGTCAGAGAACGTGTGGGGCGCGTTCTAGAACGTTGTCACGGGGAGTGGGTTGATGTCATCTTAAAGTGCTGATATGACTTAAAGATATTTAGCATCTTAGTCACAGAATCTCAAAACCAAAGTGAGGCCCTGGGATTGGTGGACTCTGCCTGAGGAAAAGGGACTTCCCCCAAGGTCGCATGGCCAGGGCACTGTGGCAGAGAGAGGAGGTGGGGATTTCCTTCCTCCTTGCCGGAACCCTCTTCGTGGGCCCATCTCCAAGCATCCCCATCGAACCCAGGTTGCAGGAAAGTCAGAGAGCTTGGCTGGTCCTGACTGTCCCTGAAAAACGGAACGGACGCTCCTGGTCCTTGAAGGCCCCCACACCATCTTCCCCCGGGTGGTCCCCTGCAACCCGTATCTCCTCGGCTTTCTAGATGATAATCTGTCCGGCACCAGTGGCATGGAGGTGGACGACCGCGTGTCGGCGCTGGAGCAGCGGCTGCAGTTGCAAGAAGACGAGCTGGCGGTCCTAAAGGCGGCGCTGGCGGACGCGCTGCGTCGCCTGCGGGCGTGCGAAGAACAAGGCGCGGCGCTGCGCGCGAGGGGCACCCCGAAGGGCAGGGCGCCCCCACGTTTGGGCACCACCGCCTCGGGTATCCTGGTCGGGGTTGGAGGGTGTGACGAGGAGGGCTGGAGGCACGACCTCACGCTCATCATCTTCCGTGCTCTAACCCCATCACTCCAGTGTGTCAACTCCTGAAAGGCCTTCCCACCAGGACTCCCCTCAATGGCTCCGGACCCCCGCGTCGCGTGGGTGGCTATGCCACCTCTCCATCTTCCCCCAAGAAGGAGGCAAGCTCTGGGCGCAGGTAAGGCAAGAAAAGCAGGGCTCTGGCCTCCTCTCAGACTTTGCTGGAGAACGCTGCACAATCATCGCGGGCTCTGCTCTCATCACTCTGGTCTTTTCCGCAGCAGTCGCCGCTACTTGTCGCCTGAGCGCCTGGCCTCTGTGCGTCGCGAGGATCCCCGTAGTCGAACCACATCTTCCAGCAGTAACTGTAGCGCCAAAAAAGAAGGGTAAGTTCAAAGGTGGGGCCTCAACTTTAGACAAGCAAGAGAATGAGTGCAGGGTGGGGTGAGCCTGTTCGCAAGGTGGGAGCGCAGTACTGGGGTAGCCTGGTCAAAAAGGAAAGCCTGGGAGGGATGGAACTAATATTGGGAGCCCAGTCAGCATTGGGAAACGGAACTGGAACCTAAGAAGGCCTGCGTGGTCTTTGGGTCGATAGAGGAAGCTAGGGAGGAGCCAGGCGCATGGGTGTGGCTATTAAGATAAAGAAAGTTCTCTTTGATTCTCAGGGTGGAGTCAGGGCTCAAGACTCAGAGTTTCTGTGGGGAGTGTAAAAATCAGAGGTAGAGGCGTGGTTGGAATTTGGGTGTCTTAGTGGAGTTAGCGTGGTAGAATCGAAATCTAGAGTGGTGGACTGAAGGGAACCCTACTTGGGTAGATGCTACCTGGTATAAGTGGGTGTGGCTTAGGATTGGGCGGGGCTGTAAGTAGGCGTGGCCCAACCTTATGGCGGTAGCTTGGAGAACTTGGGGATAGCTTGGAGCGGGTCTTGCGAAATTGATGGGATCAGAATGCCTAATGAGACCCCCAAAAAAGAGGTGGGACAGCTATCTGTTATTAATTAAGAGGGAAGCCGGGAGTGGGCATGGTTTAAGCTTGTAAATTACAGCAGAGGCGGAGAGGCAAGGGGAGTGCCCGAGTTTCAAAGCCAGAACGATTATATTGTGCGTTCAGTCCAGCCTGGATTACAATGAAACCCAGTCTCAAATTTATAAATAAATAAATAAGTAAATAAATTTCAAGAGGGGTCATGACTCTGATCCCAGGACTTGGTAAGAGGAGACGGGAGGATCAGGGTTCATAGTCATACTCGGCTACTTACCGAATTTGAGGCCAGCCTGGGCTACTTGAGACCTTCTCTTAATAGAGACACAGACACGGACAAAGTCAGAGCCAGTCCAGGACTAACGGGTGGGTGGGCGTGGTGGTCAGGTAGCTAGGAGCAGAATCAAGGTGTAAGGTTGGAACTATGGCACAGCAGGAGTGGCCAGGATTTGAGAGTAGACTACAGCAAGTCTGAAGCAGGTTTCAAGTCGTCTGAAATAATAATAAACACGCCCTGGGTCAGACACTTGCGTATATTAGCCACTATCAACCTCTCAATCGCACTGGGAAGTGGTTTTTCTATTCCCGTTTTTTGAAACGAGGAAACGGTTGTTTTAGAGGTTGGGCAACTAGTTCATACTTCTAGAAAGAGGGGAGATCTGAGCTCAGGCAAGCGCGTCTCTGAGTCTATGTGGTCAACCTTCACCCACCCTTCACCCTATCCAAAGGGCTTGGTGTCTGGACTCCGTGGGCCGGTCTATTGGACCCGGTGGCACCTGGCGCCCGCAGGGGTCCACTCCGGGGGGCGGGGCAGGGGCGGTGGCGCCGGCGCCTCCCAGGGCCGGAAGCGGCGGGGCCGGTCCCGGCTCCACCTCCGACCCGAAACTCCGCCAGCCGCCGCCATGAGTAGTTTTGGAGCTGGGTGAGACCCTCTTGTAGTCCTCCCTCCTCCCTCCTCCTGTCCTTTCTCTCCTCTGGCAGAGGAGGTGGAGACACGCCCCTTCCTCTGAACAATTCACTGCTTTCCTGACTGCTTGAAGTTTGGGGTGCTGGGGGAGGAAGGCGAGGGACGCTGGGAGCATTTTGCCTCCTGGGAGGGAGGGTCTCTAGTGACCACAGTCTTCCAGGATCGCGAGCCTGCCGCTTCGTACTGTGTGACCCTTGGCGGTCTCTGCCTCTCTGGGCCTGTGTCTTAGGCTCTTCAAGCTCTAACGAGCAAAGCACAGGGCCTGCAGAGAGGTAGCGCTCCGCTCCTGACTCGCCTGGTTATTCGCTGGAGACCCGCAGAGCCAAGGGGTTTGAGAGGTACTTCCTCTCCTATCTTATCTGCTTGCTAAAACACCCATTTTCTTCCCTCCCCTCTCTCTCTTTTTCCCCTGCATCGTTCCCTGCATCTTTTGACAGGAAAACCAAAGAAGTTATCTTCAGCATGGGTGAGTGGGGAGGGTGGGCGTGGTTTCACTGACTGTAGCCTGCCAAAGACCTGGGGTCCTGGCTACTGGGCCTTTGCCTGTCTGGCTTCATTTTATCCATCAGTTAAAAAGAAAAAGAAAGAGAGAGAGAGAAAGGAAGAGAGAAGGGGGTGGGGAAAGGGAGCAAAGGGAGGGAGGTATGGTCAAAGCTAGGAACCCAGCATTCGGGAGGCTGAAGGCGTTTTGGAGTTGAAGGAAGGCTAGCTCGGCTCCATAAAGAGATCCTGTCTATATACAATGAACTGGCTGTGGCGGCTTACACTTGTAATCCCAGCACTTGGGAATCTGAGGCAGAAGGATCACCTTGAGTTCCAGGCCAGCCTGGGCTACACGGAGAATTCCAGGCCAGCTGTAGAGACCCTGTCTCAAATAACAATAACGACCTTAGTAACGTTACTGGAGTGGGGACAGGCCTAGGGCTGGGTGGAACCTGACCTCTGAGGCTGTCTTGGCAGAGGAGGGGTCTGTGAAGATGTTTCTGAGAGGCCGCCCGGTGCCCATGCTGATCCCAGACGAGGTGGCACCCGCCTATAGCCTGGACACCCGCTCTGAGCTGCCCTCCAGCCGCCTAAGGCTAGACTGGGTGTATCCTTTGGCTACGCTGTCTGCCCTCTTGGAAGACGGTAAATCTCAGTGAGGGACTTTCGGGAGAGAGGGGCCTGAGGCAGGGGGCTCTCAGGCCCTTTTGGGGGAGGTGGGGATCAGCTCGGGGAGCCCAGAGAGAGAAACAGAATGGCTGCGATGACCTCTGTGAGTTACTCATCCGGGGAATATTTGGCACTTGCTTGTGAGGTAGGTTGTTGAACTCCCTGTTAGTCAAGGACGATCCTTAGCACTTGATCTTCCCTGCCTGCACCTTCCAAGACCTGGGACTGCAGGGTAAGAGCCATCACTGCACCCGGCTCTTGGGGATCAATCAGATAGATGTCAGCCACCGGGATCTGTTTCCCTGTGGATGGTCTTCACAGATCTCAGCTTAGGAGTGGAGAGTTGGGGGCTGGGGCACATTGGGTAGCCATAGCTGTCCTGGAACTCTCTCTGTAGACCAGGCCAGCCTTGAACTCACAGAGATCCTCCTGCCTCTGCCTCCTGAGAGTGTTGGGATTAAAGGCGTGCGCCATCACCGCTCAGCTATAAAAAATATTTCTATGAGAAGTTTTCAGTGGTGGAGGGCTATCACATCAGGGAGTCACAGTTCTCAAAAAAAAAACAAAGACATTTGGGCTGAGAACCCAACACCCAGGAACCAGCCAGAGAAGAATTAAAGGAAAAACCTTCCAGACTAAGGTTGCCATGGGTATAATGACTGGGTGGCCGCAGTGAGTTTGAACCGCTTGGGAAACAGAAAACAGCCTTAGGGGGTGAGCTGGAACTGTCTGTCCTGCTTCTGGCTGACTGTGACCGTGGAGAAGTCACCTTCCTCCCTGTGCCTCAGTTGGTTGTTTCCTCTGAAGACTGTATTTTTTGACCTTAGGATCCCAGGACTGTGGGATTAGGGGTAAGAGGCAGGGCTTGGGAGGCTGCATTTTAGATGGTTTGTTGGATAAAGCTCTTGTTTCACAAGCATGAGGACTGGAGTTCTGAGCCTCTGCACACTCATAAATGCCGGGTGGGCATGGTGGTAGTCTGTGATCATGAGGTAGAGTCATGATTGTAGGGGCAAGCAGGCTAGCTAGCTGGAACTAAACTCTGGATTCAGTTAGAGTCCCTGCCTGAATGAAAATGAGAGTGACTGAGGAAAACATCCAAAGTTAAATCAGACAGCCACAGATGTACACACACATTTATGCATACCTGCACACGCTCATGCAGACATGTGTGCATACAACACACGTATACAGGCAAGAACATTTTTTAGAGATGTTGGCTCTATAGTTCAAGAACCACGCATAGAGATGGATAGAACTCAGGTAAGTGCTATACAAGCCACTGAGCCACGCCCCAGTCCCTCACTGGGGGATTCTAGGCAGGGGCTCTACCTCCTGGTCTCTCACTCATGGAGTCAAGGTAAGGTAGTTTATCTCTAGGTAAGTTTATCTCTTGCCTTAGCCTTCTAAGTGCTAGAATTACAGGTGTAATTCCCACAGCCAGCTCTCTCTTCTCATAAGGCACTGTTACTAGGTTTAGGGCCTATGCATATCATGTGGGATGACTTTATCCTGAGATCCTAATCACATTTGTAAAAATCCATATTTCATCCATGATTGCCACAGTTGATGGGGAGGGTCAAGTTGGGGACCTAGCAAAGCGTGGTGACTTCAGACTGTAATTGCAACCCTGAGGAAGTTGAGGCAGCAGGATTGCTGCCAGCTGAAAGGCTAATCTGTGCTACTTTGTAGTATAGTGTTTACAAGCAAACCGGCTGTGGAGAGAGCTCAGTTAGAAAGTGCTTGGTGTGCAAACGTGGAGACTCGAGTTCCATCCTCAGCACCCACAGAAAGATGAGACATGCTTGTGGCTACAGTCCCAGCACTGGGTGGGGTAGACACAGGAAGATTCCCCGGGGCTTGCTGGCCAGCCAGTCTACCTGATTCTGTGAACTCCAGGTCCAACAAGAGACACTTGTGTCAAAAGAAGGTGAAAAAATAAATAAAAAGGTGGGAAGCAGCTGGGGAGCACACCCAGCCTCTAGCCTCTACAGCTGGGGAGCACACCTAACCTCTAACCTCTACATCTGGGGAGCACACCCAGCCTCTAGCCTCTACAGCTGGGGAACACACCCAGCCTCTAACCTCCACAGCTGGGGAGCACACCCAGCCCTCTAGCCTCCACAGCTGGGGAGCACACCCAGCCCTCTAACCTCCACAGCTGGGGAGCACACCCAGCCTCTAGCCTCTACAGCTGGGGAGCACACCCAGCCTCTAGCCTCTACAGCTGGGGAGCACACCTAACCTCTAACCTCTACATCTGGGGAACACACCCAGCCTCTAGCCTCTACAGTTGGGCAGCACACCCAGCCTCTAGCCTCTACAGCTGGGGAGCACGCCTAACCTCTAACCTCTACAGCTGGGGAACACACCCAGCCTCTAGCCTCTACAGCTGGGGAGCACACCCAGCCTCTAGCCTCTACAGCTGGGGAGCATACCCAGCCTCTAGCCTCCACAGCTGGGGAGCACATCCAGCCCTCTAACCTCCACAGCTGGGGAGCACATCCAACCTCTAGCCTCTACAGCTGTGGAGCACACCTAGCCCTCTAACCTCCACAGCTGGGGAGCACACCCAGCGCTCTAACCTCTACAGCTGGGGAACACACCCAGCCCTCTAGCCTCCACAGCTGGGGAGCACACCCAACCTCTAGCCTCTCCAGCTTTCTACGGCTGTGAATGTAAGCTCATATACAAACACACAAACGGGAACTTATATTTTGGGAACACCATGGTTCACCCTGCAGAGGTGGGGTGGAGACAGGAAAACATTCCAGGAACAGGTTCCTTAACCCAGCCCTGGGCGTCTGCAGCTATGGCTATCGAGGCCGGGACTGCAGGGCTAACCTTTACCTGCTGCCCACCGGGGAGGTGGTGTACTTTGTGGCTTCCGTGGCTGTGCTGTACAGTGTGGAAGAGCAGCGACAGCGGCACTACCTGGGGCACAGCGACGACATCAAATGGTGAGTTAGGGAAGAGCCCAGGCTCGGGCGCCGATCCAGTCTGTACCTCCTGCGGCTCTTTCCACATGGCTGCCAACATGGAGTGTGGAGCAGTGCCAACTCTGCACAATGAGAGCGCCTGCTACCCGGGGTGGAAACTAGTGGGAAAATAAGCGTATATAGTGTTTATCTTTTTTTTTAAAAAATGTGCATTGGTGTTTTGTCTGCATGTATGTCTGTGTGAGGGTGTCGGATCCCCTGGGACATTAAAGTTACAGATGGTTGTGAGCTGCCATGTGGGTGCTGGGAATTGAACCCAGATCCTCTGGAAGAGCAGCCGGTGCCCTGAACCACTGAGTCTTCTCTCCAGTCCCTATGATATTTATCTTTTTTGTTTTTTAAGTGTGTACGTGTGTGTATGTGCCTGTTTGTACGTACACCATGTTTGTGTAATGTCCCCATAGTTTATCCGTAGTTACAACAGGTTATCAGCTGCCCAGTGTGGGTGCTAGGAGCCAAATCCAGGTCCTCTGGGAGAACAGCAAGTGCCCTTCCACTGAGTTCTCTCTCTAGCACACGAGCTTTTATTTTCTCTATTGTGGCAGGGTCTCTACTTAGCCCAGGCTGGCCTGGAACCTGCGGTGTAGCCAAAGCTGGCCTTGAACTCATGACTCTCCTGCCTCAGCCTCCGTAGTGCCGGGATTGTATAACATACCTGACAGTTGTATCAGATAGACTGATGCCCTCACCCAGTGTTCCAAGTTTTTGCTTCTTTGAAGAAAGTGACCCAGCATTTCAGGTATTTCCGTGTTGGGATTTAATGTTTTCGTAGGCACTGTTTTTAGGACGTGCCTGAGCTGGGTGGAGTCAGGAAGGTCAGAAGTTCAACCTCATTCTCAGCTGTGCAGCCAGTTGGCAGCCTGGGCTTCATCAAACACTGTTTCAATAAACAAATGAAAGAATTTTTTTTTTTTTTTTTTTTTTTTTTTTTTTTTTTTTTTTTTGGTTTTCCAGACAGGGTTTCTCTGTGTAGTCCTGGTTGTCCTGGAACTCACTCTGTAGGCCAGGCTGGTCTCAGACTCAGAGATCCTCCTGCTCCTGCTTCCTGAGTGCTAGGATTAAAGACTTGTGCCCCCATGTCTGGTAAACATTTTTACAATTCATGTTTGTCAAGGGAACAGCTTAGCCTGCTGAGGAAGGCTCACTGCCCCTGTGAGTTTTTCCCTCCCCATTGCTGAATATTCTTCCTCTGTTTCTCTGTCCCCAGTCTGGCTGTCCACCCGGATATGGTCACCATTGCCACAGGACAGGTGGCAGGCACCACAAAGGAAGGCAAGGTATCTGTGGGGAGTAGGCACTGCACAGAGGGACTAATGGAAACTAGGCCCCCCCACAAAAGTAACTGCGCTTCTCTTTTCTGCAGCCTCTGCCACCCCATGTGCGTGTCTGGGACTCAGTTTCCCTGTCTACCCTCCATGTCCTGGGCCTTGGGGTGTTTGACAGAGCTGTGTGCTGTGTGGCTTTCTCCAAATCCGTAAGTCTTTGGCCTACTCCCTTCAGAAAGCACTTTCCTATGAGGGGAGACTATACCTCATTATGACATCACAATGAGGTCATACACTCCTTCAAGTTCCAGGCCTTGGGGCCTCAGGCCTGTGACCCAGAGCCCAGCACGTGGCACAGTACACCCTTCTTCTCCATTGGCTGACTCCCGTTGGGTTATTTTTCTTGAGCATTCTGGAAGGTTCCTTATCTCTCAAGGTTTCAATCCCAGCACTGAGGGCCTTGCACCATCCACTTCCCCCACCAAAGCAGAAGTTAAAGTAATCTTCCTGGAATTTGTGGAGCACTTTGGTGTTGATACAACTGCCCTCCTCTTCCATTCCCATGATTTATTGGTTTTTGTTTTTGTTTTTGTTTTTGTTTTTGTTTTTTTTTTTTTTTGGTTTTTCGAGACAGGGTTTCTCTGTAGCTTTGGAGCCTGTCCTGGAACTAGCTCTGTAGACCAGGCTGGTCTCGAACTCACAGAGATCCGCCTGCCTCTGCCTCCCGAGTGCTGGGATTAAAGGCGTGTGCCACCACCGCCCGGCTGGGTTTTTGTTTTTTGAATGATAATTTTATTTGAAAGTGTTGCAGGTGGATTGGGAAAAACAAAAATTCTACTCCCCAAAAATAGTTTAAGAGTAACTGGGTTTGTGGGGTACATGTTCATGATCCCCACAGTGTGGAGAACAAGGCAGGAGGTGCCTTGGCTATATGAGACTTCGTCTCAAAACCACAGCTCAGTTGGGTGTGGTGGGATATGCTTTTAATATTGGCCTTCTTAAGAGGCAGAAATTGAAGGATCGCTGTGAGTTCAGGCAAACCTTGATTATATATCCAGTTCCAGGCTAGCCAGGTTGCACAGTGAAACCCTGTCTCAAAACACAACAACAAAACATCAGGCTAATCTATTTCTTTTTAAAATTTTTTTTTGTTTGTTTTTTGTTTTTCGAGACAGGGTTTCTCTGTGGTTTTGGAGCCTGTCTTGGAACTAGCTCTTGTAGACCAGGCTGGTCTCGAACTCACAGAGATCCGCCTGCTTCTGCCTCCCAAGTGCTGGGATTAAAGGTGTGCGCCACCACCGCCCAGCTTCTATTTATTATTGTCATTTTATTATGAGACAGGGTCTCACTATTGTAGCTCTGGCTGCTCTGAAACTTCGTGTAGACCAGGCTGGCCTTGAACTCACAGAGATCTGCCTGCCTCTGCCTCCCAAGTGCCTGGCTTTGTATTTTTTAAAGGATTTATTTTTGGTTGTTCTCACCTATGTGTGGGTACCTGCATCCATATCCAGGAAACAGCACAGATGCCCTAGAGCGCGAGTTACAGGCTGTTGTGAGCCATCTAACATGGGTGCTGGGGATCGAACCTGGGTCCTCTGGAAGAGCAGCAAGCACTCTTAACCACTGAGCGTCTCTCTAACCCCCAGTTTTGCTTTTATTTTTAAAGTTAGCATGTAAAATAATGATCCCGTTCTGATATTTTCAATGTCTATGTCACTGTGTCTAGCCCACGCTCAATCGCCTAGGACCTGCGGCTATCCTTCCCAAATCAACTTTCTATTATCTTCTTTCAAACACTTTTATTTATTGCGAGTGTGCTGGCACATGTACATACACCCCGTGCCCCAGCATTCCCGTGGAGATCAAGAAAAACTGCTGGGAATTTCTTCTCTCCTCCTGCCATGAGGGTCGTCCCAGGGGTGGAACTTAGGTCAGGCTTGGCAGCTGGCACCATTACCACCCACTGAGCCAGCTCGCCAGCCCCACCCATCCAAGTCTGACAGCCAACTTTGATAATGGCTGGATTTCATATACATAAAAAGCCATTCCAGGGATGGGGGTGTGGTCCAGAGGCAGAGCACTTGCCAAGCCCATACACTGCCCTGAATTCCATTTCCAGCACCAAATGGGGAGGGGAAGAAAAAGCAATGAAAAAAAAAATCACTCAGGAGGCAGAGGCACTGCCTGGCTACATAGCAAGCCGGAGGGAAGACCTGTTTCAGCATCCGTCATTCTGTGATAGTGCAGAGTAGATGGGGTCAACAAGAATTCTAAGTGTGGGAGCTGGAGAGGTGGCTCAGTGGTTAAGAGCACTGACTGCTCTTCCAAAGGTCTCTAGTTCAACTCCAAGCAACTACATAATGGCTCACAACCATCTGTAATGGGATCAGATTCCTTCTTCTGGTGGGCATGAAAACAGAACACTCATATACATAAATAAATGAATATCTAAGTCTTTTTTTAAAAAAGAAAAATTTTAATGTATTTATTCACTTTGTGTTTGTGGTACGTACATGTGCACCGCATGTGTGGAGGTCAGGAGACAGCTCACAGAAGTCAGTTCTCTCCTTCCATCTATGAGTCCTGGGGATTGAACTCAGATCGTCAGGGTTGGCAGCAAACACTCTTACTTACTGAGCCATCTCACCAGCTCATATCCTGCGCAATCAAGTGAGACGCTTTGTCAAGCAAAGAAGGATGGGGGCTGGGGCGTGGCTCAGTGGTAGAGCCCCTACCTAGAATCCCCCAGTGAGGGACTGGGGTGTGGCTCAGTGGTAGAGCCCCTGCCTAGAATCCCCCAGTGAGGGGCTGGGGTGTGGCTCAGTGGTAGAGCCCCTGCCTTGTGTATGGCAGGTTCCATCCCCACTATCACACAAAAAAAGATTTATTGTTTTGGATTTTTCAAGACTGGGTCTCTGTGTAGCTCTGGCTGTCCTGGAACTCACTCTATAGACTGTTTCTGACCTTGAACTTAGAGATCCACCTGCCTCTGCCTCATGAGTGCTGTGCCACCACCACCCAGCTAAAATATTATTCTTATGTAGGGTATACACTCATGCTGGTGCCCAGCTCACTTTTTCCACAGTTCAGATTCCCCTGCCTAGGGAACAGTGCTGCCCATAGTGGGCGGTTCCTCCCATCTCAAGATAACCCAGGTAATGCCCCTCAAACATGCTGGGAGACCAGCCTGATCCAGACAGTTCCTCATTGAGACTACCTTCCCGGGTGACTCTATCAACACTGACCAACACAAATGTGCCTTATATGTCATGCTTGTGAAGGTCTTTGCACAGGCAGCTGGGTAAATGAGTCGGAGTGGGGTGGGGGGAAGGTATCCTAACCCACTCCTCTGTCTTCCACAGAATGGGGGCAACCTGCTCTGTGCAGTGGACGAATCCAACGATCATGTGCTCTCCGTGTGGGACTGGGCCAAGGAGAGCAAAGTGGTGGATAGCAAGGTGAGAAGGCTTGCCTTTCATGTCCCCTCCCTGCGAGTGTCCTCTCAGGACATGCTGGGCCATACGGTTGGGAATCTGCAACCAGACTCATCTTAAATGGGGGCTTTGGTCTGTTGGATGACTGTGCTGACGGCGCCTGTTCTGTGAGTGTTGGGCCCTTCCGGTGGAAAATGAGGTCAACAGTGGTGTCCTCCTCACAGGAGGTGGAAGGCTGGGCATCATGGATGGGGCTCAGCACAAAGTTAGCTGTGGTATGAATCTCAGAATACAGGGGGAAGCTGAGCAAAGAGATCGTGAGTTGGAGTCTAGTCTGGGCTACATAACAAGACCCTGTCCCAAGAAAAAGAGAGATAGCCAGGCATAGTGGTGCATGCCTTTAATCCCAGCACTTGGGAGGCAGGTGGATCTCTGTGAATGCAAGGAAGCCTGGTCTACATAGTGAGTTCCAGCCCAGCCAGGGCTGCATGGTGAGCCTCTGTCTCAAGAGGTGGGGTGGGGGTGGGGAGACATGATCTGGAGGTAAGATATTTGCCTATAAGCACATGCCGGCGCTGAGAGCAGAAAACTGGATTCTAGATGGGGGTCCTTCTTTCGGAAGGATAAGGGATAAGGGGATAAGAGATGGTGTCAGGAATTAGACTTGTGACCTGGGTTCTAGACATTGCTGTAATGCAGCTGTGTAGCCTTGGGCAAGTGTTTGTGTTCTCTGAACCTCATCTATGAGGGAAGCACTAATGGGCCTCATCTCCCAGAGGACCATGGGGATTAAGTGAGTTTTATAAGTGCTCAGCTTAGTGTGTAACACAGACTAGAGGCTCCCAAAGGGCCTGCTGGTATACTCCCTGTTCCTGCAAGCGGGCTCACAGGGCAGTCCTATGGGATGGGTAAGGTGTGGTAAAGTCCTCATTCAGAATCTGTCCTGATCCCCTCAAAGTGCTCCAATGAGGCCGTGCTGGTGGCCACCTTCCACCCCACTGATCCCAGCCTGCTCATCACCTGTGGGAAGTCCCACATCTACTTCTGGAGCCTGGAAGGAGGAAGCCTGAGCAAGAGGCAGGGCTTGTTTGAGGTGAGTGCCGGGGATTGGTGGACGGCCAGGCAGGGATACCCAGTGGGATAGACAGTCTGGAGGGCTCCAGGGGTAGCCATGTGGGGACACTGCCAAGCCTGAGTTTCTTCACCCCTCTGAGAGGGGATCCTGGTGAGCTCTGGTGCGTGTGGGTCCAGTGGCTGAGAGCACAGATGCTCTAATGGAGATGCCCATGACTGGGGAGTCAGAGAGGAACTGCAGGGAGAGGGGACTCAGCGGATAAAGTGCTTACCATGAGTACATGGGACTGGAGTCCCCAACCAAGTGAGCATGGTGGTGCATGTGCAGCCCTTGGGAGGGGACAGAGAGGACTCCCAGGGCAAGTTAGCTAGCTAGAGTAGCTGAATCTGAAAACTCCAGGTTCAGCGAGAGCTCCTGCTTCAATAGAAATATGTGGAGAGCAATCAAGGAAGACATCTGACATCAACTCCACATGTGCACACATGCACACTCACACAGCACAGCAACATGCATGCAAACACAATAGCACAGCCACCCACACATGTGAACACACACACACAGCACCAGCCAGGCAGGATGGCAGCACTGGGAAGATGAAGACTGGCGGACCCTTGGCCCATTGTCTGCCAACATCGCCTACTTGGCAAACCCTGGGATCCCGGTGAGAGCCCATGTCTCAAAAAGACGGTGAGGGGTCAAACATGCCAAGTCTTCTGGTGGAGACTCAAGTTCCCAGCACCCATATCAGGAAGCTCCCAGGAATTCAGCGCCCGCTTCTGCAGGCACCTGTACTCACTGGCACGTGCCCACACACATGTGAGCATGCACACACACACACACACATACACACACATGCACACATGCACACACACACAATTTTTAGATAATTAAAATAAAAATCAAAAGGAAAACAAAGTTACATAGGGAAGATGGCTCAGCAGTTAAAAATGCTTGCCCCAAAGCCTGACAATCCCTGGAACATACGTCACAGGAGAGAACTGACTCCCACCCACCGTTGTCCTGTGACCTCCACAAGTACATACTGGCACGGTGTGTCCACACATACACCCATATACCAAATAATCGTATAGAATAAATAAAAAGCATAATGAGATGTTTTTCAAAACTAAATCAATATACCAGGTGTGGTGTCAACACTCCTTTAAACCCTGCGTCCCGGCACCTGGAGGCAGAGGCAGTTAGATCTGTATGAGTTCAAGGCCGTCCAGGACTACATAGTACAACTCTGTGTATAAAAAAGAAAGAGGGGGCTGGAGAGATGGCTCAGTGGTTAAGAGCACTGACTGCTCTTCCAAAGGTCCTGAGTTCAATTCCCAGCAACCACATGGTGGCTCACAACCATCTGTAATGAGATCTGGTGCCCTCTTCTGGCATGCCTCCATACATGGAGGCAGAATGTAGTATACATAATAAATAAATAAATCTTTTAAAATAAATAAATAAAAGGGCAAACTGGAGCGATGGCTCAGAGGTTAAGAGCACTGACTGCTCTTCCAGAAAACCTGGGTTCAATTCCCAGCACCCACATGGCAGTTCACAACTGTCTGTAACCCCAAGATCTGACACCCTCATACAGACATGCACACAGACAAAACACCAATGCAAATAAAATAAAAAATAAATAAATCATTTAAAACAAAAATGGAAAAAGAGCCAGGCGATGGTTTTGTACATTTTTGATCCCAGCACTTGGGAGGCAGAGGCAGGCAGATCTCTGTGAGTTCAAGGCCCGGACTACAGAGTGAGTTCCAGGACAGGCTGCAAAGCTACAGAGAAACCCTGTCTTGAACAACTAATAATGATAATAATAATTATTATAATAGAAGCAAAAAGCAAGGTGAATGGCTTCCAAGGACCAACAACATTGTTGTCCTCCGGCCTCTGTATGAATGTGCATGTATACTCATCCAGACATGTCCGGTGACACTGACGCCTTCCCTCCCCTCTTTCCTCACTGTAGAAACACGAGAAACCAAAGTATGTGCTGTGTGTCACCTTCTTGGAAGGTGGTGATGTGGTCACTGGAGACTCTGGGGGGAACATCTACATCTGGGGCAAAGGTCAGTGTCAGTACACTAGTTTGGACTCTCACCTCTGTCTTTTCCAGCACCCTCGGCTGAATCTCCCTTTCTTTAACCACGCTGTGTGGCACGAATGTCAGTAGAGAGTAAATTTCTCCTCCTTTTCTATGTTTGTGTGTGTGTGCCTGTGTGTGTGCAAGAGTGTGGGGGCTTGAAATGGCTGTCAGGAGTCATCCTTAGCCACCCTTCTACCTTAATCATTGAGGCAGGTTTCTCAATCAAACCCAGAGCTCATCGATATAACCGGTCTCACTAGGAAGCTTACTCTTGGATCCTCTGTCTCACTCTCCAAGACTGGGCATTTGAATTCTGGTTATAAAACTTGCACGGCCAGCACTATAACCATAGAGCTATCATTCTAGCCCTACTCTAGGTTAAATTCTCTTTTCTTCTTCTTTTTAAAATTATTTATTTGGGGGCTAGAGAGGTGGCTCAGTGGTTAAGAGCACATACTGGAGCCAGGAGGTACCACAGTGGCACATGTCTTTAATCCCAGCACTCCGGAGGCAGAGGCAGGCAGAGCTCTGTGAGTTAGAGGCCAGCCTGGGCTACAAAGTGAATTCTAGGACAGCCAGAACTATTACACAGAGCCTGATTTAAAAACCAAAAGAGAGGGGCTGGAGAGATGGCTCAGTGGTTAAGAGCATTGCCTGCTCTTCCAAAGGTCCTGAGTTCAATTCCCAGCAACCACATGGTGGCTCACAACCATCTGTAATGAGGTGTGGTGCCCTCTTCTGGCCTTCAGGCATACACAGAGACAGAACATTGTATACATAATAAATAAATAAATATTTAAAAAAAATAAATAAAAACCAAAAGACATACTGCTCTTCCACAGGACATACACCTGTAACTCTTGCTCTGGGGATCCAACTCCTCTGGCTTCTGCAGCCATTTGCACTCATGTGTGCATGCCTAAGCATGCATTCACGCATGCACACATACACGCAGAGTTAGAAAATAAAAATAAATCTAAAAATGCTTAATGATGTATATGAGTGTTGTGCCTGCCTGTATGTGTGTGCACCATGTGCATACAGCACTCACCAAGGCCAGAAGAGGGCGTCCGATCCTCTGGAACTGAAGTTATGGATGGTTGTGAGCCACCATGTTGGTGCTAGGAACTGAACCCAGGTTCTCTGCAAAGGCTACAAGTGCTCTTAATCTCTGAGCCACCTCTCCAGCTCTTAAGATAAATTTTTATTTTGCAGTTCCAGCATCCTTGGCAAGGCTCAGCTCAGGTGTCCCCAACTCTGTAAAGTCATTATTGGTTCCCAAAGCCTTATTCTCTGCTGGTTTCATAGTAACAGCAAAGGCCCAAGTATAAATGTGTGAAATGACTCAGCCACAGCCAGTGTGTTGTGTGAATAATTGGACAGAAGGCTGGGTGGATTTCTGTGTATGAATGGAAAAGTGGGGGAGGATGGATGGATAGTGGGTGGATTTGTGAATGGGTAGATGGGTGATGAATGGGTGAGTAAATGAGGGATTAGGGAACAGGGGTGGATGCATGGATACATGAAGAATGGATACTCTGATGCACAGGTGTGTATGTGGGTGAATGAACGGACATACAACAGATGTCCTTGCCTGGGCACCGGGTCATCCCAGACCCCTATAGTCCCCTCAGCAGCCCTTAATCCCTCCTACTGTACCTATTTTGCAAGAGAAGGTTCTTCCTTCTGCTTGGATAACTTTTCCATTCATTTGTCCAAGGCAACATCAGCTCAACCCTTAGATCCTTCATCCATCCAACCCCTCACTCAGCAGGCTGGAAACCCCATGCAGGATTTCACACGGTCCCGGTGTCCCAGCATGGTGCCAGCCACCTTGTGTCTTCACTGACTGGTCATGGCAAGTCTGTCTCTGCCATTGACGTGTGAGCCCTCTAAAAGTGTGGTATGAGATTGTCTTGGTCCTGCTGTGTTCCCAGATGAAACTCAGCCCAGTGCAGCTAAACTTTTGTTGGTGGAATGGGTGGATGATGAGCAGAGAGACAGCGGATAGATGGGTAGAAAATGAGTGGACGTTTAAGTGGAGGGAAGGACTGACTGATGGATGGGCAGTTTAATGAAAGAATAGTAGGGGTGGATGAAATGTTAGATCAGGAGATGGATGGATAGTGGGTGGATTTGTGAATGTGTAGATGGAGGACATGGGTGGGAAGTGGATTAATGGAGAGACAGAAGGAGGGGTGGATGGATGGGTTGAATGAGTGGGAAGATGGATGAATGGGTGGATGGATGGATCAATGGATGGGGTGGGTGGATGGATGGATGGATGGATGGATGGATGGATGGATGGATGGGGTGGGTGGATGAATGGATGGATGATGGATGACTAGATGGAATGATGAGGAATAAGTGGATGTGTGGGTAGATGGATATAGATGGATGGATGGATGGATGGGGTGGGTGGATGGATGGATGACTAGATGGAATGATGAGGAATAAGTGGATGTGTGGGTAGATGGATATAGATGGATGGATGGATGGATGGATGGGGTGGGTGGATGGATGGATGACTAGATGGAATGATGAGGAATAAGTGGATGTGTGGGTAGATGGATATATTGATGAGTGGGTGGGTGAAGTGGTAAATTGATTGGTGGATCAATAGATAGATGAGTAGATGAATGAATGGGCGGTGGGTAGAAGGAAGGAAAGATTGGCTGCTGGATCATTAAGTAGGAAAATGTAGATAAATGTATGGGAGACAGATGGATAGGAGGAGGAGAGCAAGGACTGATGAACTAGGAGATGGATGGATGGATGGATGAGTGGACAGATGAATCTGGGGGAGGCACTAATATGTGATGAACGGGGAGACGGACGGGTGGCCGACCATTAGATAGTGGGGAAGTACGTGAGTGGATAAACCACAGGATGGATGGGTGAGAGTTCAGATGATTCAGTGGGTAGAGGATAAAGTCCGTGGATGGTGGGCAGATGGATGGTCAGTGGGCGGAAGAACCAAAAGAAAGACAGAAAGATGAGTGAGCAGGTGGCTGTTGGCCTCACAGCTTTAGGTAAGGGTCCAAGAGAGAAACAGCCTTCCCATGCCAACTCCCATGCCCGATCCCCCCACAGGTGGAAACCGCATCACCCAGGAGGTACTGGGAGCCCATGATGGCGGCGTGTTTGGGCTCTGCGCCCTGCGGGACGGGACGCTGGTATCTGGAGGGGGCCGCGATCGTCGGGTGGTCCTATGGGGTTCGGACTACAGCAAGATGCAGGAGGTGGAGGTGAGGATGTGGCTGATGGGGGTCGGCTTCGTAGGATCCTAACCACACATGCCATGCCACCCCACATCACATGTATCCTATACACACATCTACCCAACTCAGGTCCCGGAGGACTTTGGCCCTGTACGCACTATAGCAGAAGGCCGGGGAGACACACTGTACGTGGGGACCACCCGTAACTCCATCTTGCTTGGCTCGGTGCACACTGGCTTCTCACTGCTTGTCCAGGTGAGTGACTCTCCAGTTCTCTTCCCGCCCTCCTACATCCTCCCTGCCAACACCGGCATCACTGTTGCCCCTTGTGTCCATTTCTTCCCCTTCCTCTTCACATCCCTGCCTCGTCCCTTTCTCCTTGGCCTGGGAAACCCCATATTCCTTCCCTTCCATTGTCTTGTTTCACCTCGGACCCAGAACTCCCCAGAAGGGTTACCTGCCTTCTAGAATGGGTCCCTAGCACCCTTGCTCCCAACTAGATTGCCTCTTGCTGATCTGATTGGGGATAGCATCCTCTCACCTGGTTGGTAAGTGTTCTTGCAGATGGTCATATTGTGCTAGTCCTACACTCCTCAGGGGTCCAACTCTTAGAAAGCTTTACCGTGGGCCTGACTTTATTAATCCTCTCTCCCCTCTCCTCCTTTTTCTTTTCTTTTCTTTTCTTTTTAAATATTCATTTATTATTTATTATGTGTACAATAGTCTGTGTGTTTGCCGAAGGCCAGAAGAGGACACCAGACCTTATTACAGATGGTTGTGAGCCACCATGTGGTTGCTGGGAATTGAACTCAGGACCTTTGGAAGAGCAGGCAATGCTTTTAACCTCTGAGCCGTCTCTCCAGCCCTCTCCTTTTCTTTATGTTTTTTTTTTTGGTTGTGTTTTTATTTTTAGTCTTTGAAATTTGGATTTCATGGAGCCCAGGCTGCCCCCCAAACTCACAACAGAGCCAAGGCTGTTCTTGAACCCTTGATCCTCCTACCACTACCTCCCAAGCACTTGGATTACAGGTGTATACCACCACACTGGGCTCCAATTTCTTCTTGTAACTCAGATGCCCACTCCTCCCTCCTTGCTGTGCCATACTCAGTTAGAAACCCACCTAGTAGGAGGCAATATAGCTTAGTAGTTTGGAACTCAGAGTCTGGGACTTGGCTACCTGTAAACAAATCACAACCCTGTCACTCATCACTGTGTGATACCGGACCCGTGAATCACCGCTGAGTGCCGCAGAGATGGGGAAAGTGACTGCATGAGGATTTGTGAGGACCCCGTGTCACTTCACCATAGCATGCCATCGAGACTGCTGTTTGAGGCAGAGGAGCTACTCACAGTAGTGGGTCCTAGTAACTCTAGCTCAGTGGTCCCCTTCCCTTACCTGATCCTTGCTGTTTTTTTTCCTCTGCACTTCTAGCTGACATCTGTGCTGCTGCATTTATATGCCGCTCTGGCCTTGGTTTGGCTGTGGAGGTGGCTCAGCCTGTAAGGTACTTGCCTAGCAAGGATGCAGACCTGAGCTTCATCTGCAGAACCTGTACTGAAAGCTTGGTGTGGTAATGTGTACATGTAATCCCAGCATGGAGGAGGCAGAGGTAGAAGGAGCCCTTCTCAAAGGAGTGGACAAATTCCCAAGGATGACCGTACCCCAAAAGATAGAGGAAAGCAAGGCCAGCAGGATTTCTTTTTATTGTTGTTTTTTTATTGAAAAGAAAAAAAATTAAAAAAAATTTCCGCCTCCCCCCAGCCTCCCCTTCTCACTTTTCTCTCCCCC